GAGAGAGAGAGAGAGAGAGAAAGAAGACAGAAGTCTACCCTTTCTTTGACGAGGTTACTACGTTCGCTCTCTGGAGTACGTCGTAGTACCCCCGTTCTCTTTCGACCGTGAAATTACATGGCGGGAGTAGCGCGCGACGAGTACTACGTGTCCTTCGTCTTGATTAAAAGTCCATTGAATCCGGCGAGGCTTGCTCGCCTCCCATCGCTCAGCTGTGACGAAAGCAGACAACGTGGCTTCGTTTCAAGCACGAAAGAGCACTCCGCGCACAGGATCTCGGACGATAAGACGCATATAAATAATATATATATTATTATAGTAGATATTCTATGTATATGCACTACGGTAATTAAGGAAGATATATAGACGCGTATACATTATGTATCATCATCCACTTGCACATCTTTATGCAATTATGCGAGAATGTCTACGGATATAGTTTTCGCTGTGAAGAAAAATATGTGTACCCCTTGTATTTTATAAATATGTATAACCTTTGTATTTTATACTTTTGTAAATTGACCTATCCTTTTAATTCGAAAACTAAGAGGAAAGATGGCATGTGTAATATCATTGTTGATATCAAAAGTATATTTGGTTAAACAATTTGAAGAATTTAAACATGTATATGTATATGTCAATTCTTGTTTGATATTAAAATTTCATTTTCCTTTGTTATATTGTATATATGACACATATTTCATATACATATATAAGATTAGTCATTTAATTTTTATGACTTGGAACAACTGGATAGCTTTCACTGGAAACGGAAATTGTTAAATGTTTACGACATGATTTCAAAGGGCACTCATGTTAATAATATTAGTCATGCTATGTAACATTTGTACAATAAATATTTCATGTAGTCTTCGTGTAAGCCCGCTTTGGACGATTTATAATTCGGGACCGAGTTCTAAATATAATTTTACGTGCCGCGTACTTTGATATGTATCTCGTATACATACATTTGTGTGTGTATGTGCTCCTTAAAAAGTTTTTTTTTTTTTATTTCACGTACTATTTCACGTACAGAGAATCGCAGATAGAATTACGTACTAAAATTACGAATTATAGATCCTGTATATATCAAATAAAGATTTTGCGCAAATTCATATAGATATCGCCATAAGGTGATCCGTCTTGCGCGATAAAAGCCAGGCAAACATCCTCGATTATATTGATCGGGGAGTAACAGTCGAGATGCGATTATACAGTGAAGAGTTCATACAAAATGCAAATTCGTGTTAGAAACGCATCCGCGAGCGCGATTTGCGAGGGGAGCCGAAGGAAGGCGATCTCTGTCCGTAGGAATCGCGTACGAGCCAAATTAAAGTCCTCGCCATATGGAAGAGGATGTGCGCTCGAGGGAAGACACAAACCGAGGGAGTCCCTCTTCTCTTCTCCTCGGCTCATTCTCATCCTTGAAGGGGTTCCGCGCTCGAGTGCGTGCGTGCGTACGCTCGCCATTCGCGCCGGCTCTCCTCTCGTACGTCGCTCGTTGGTGAATGAAACAAAGGCTCGTACACACCGAAAAGGGTAGGAGAGCGACGACGTAATGACAGCCGCGATATGTAAAGCGCTGTACTCCGCTAGGCAGAACGGCCCGTCCATATTGTGTCCTACTTTCGTTCCTCGATGCAATTTTTCCCTTTGGCGAAGCGGCTTATTTAATTTTAATAGCACCATTGTCCGTTACGCGGGTAAATCATGTGGCTCTATTATTCTCTTACATAATTACTTTTATTACAAACTCGTGCGTACGCTGTCATGTCGCTTTCTTGACTTCTCGGAGATGATACTTACTATATATTCAATCTTTTATTGTAGTTTCATATGATCCTGTCTTACTTACGAAATTATGGTTGCTGTAAACCACACATTTTCACAAAATTATTATTAATTGTAACTGTCTTTTGTACCTCAAGACTTGGCGCAGTTCACGCTACATTTACGAAGTCAATCATTCATGGAATATTGAATTCGTATAAATATTTATGATACGAGATGTGTTATGACACGCTGCTCGATCTGCTTGGCAGGTATTACACATGTAAAATGTTGCGACAATGCGCATCCCATCGTCGCCCGTCAGAGTGCACTCACAACGCGTGCACGTATGCACGTACGCGTACGCACGCCACGATATGATACGCGCCTGTCACGTAATATAATGGCACATAATGATTCACGAAGGGGGACAACGTTCTATCTCAGGGATAGTTGCTGAACGCGATCGGCGGTGATAAGCGTGCCTGATGTCGCGCGTCGTTCTGATAATAAAGTGGGCGCATTCACCCTCCATCATCTACCTAATCACCTAATCGCCTATCTAATTTCCACATTATGTTAAAGTGCATTATCGCATTACGTACGCGTTACGTTACAGAATCGTCCTGAATAGCGTCGCAACGACATTTGATCCCTGTTAATCCATCAATTATCGTTAAGTGCAGTTCTCCTTGTCTCTCACTCTCGGAGTAAACCATCAAGAGTTCACGAATCATCGAATTATTCGAACATTCGTACTTCGAAGCCGCTGGAGTTTCGCAGAACCAGCTTCATTATCTACGATGATCAATGGTAATATTCGCGCCGGCAATCCCAAGATTTCCGTTCCGTAGTATTAGTGTGTGTTATAAATCGATACTCGGCCTCCAATGACACCGGATCAAGATCAAAAAAAAAAAGGAGGAAAATATAGGACGAAGGGTAAAAAGGTGATGTTAAAGCATCCCATGGGAAAGCAGGTGTCAGCTAGATGACGCTTTCACTTTCCCTTCCGACGTACTTTAGGGACCGAAACGACCTCGGTGTACTTCGCGATTGATGTACGATCCCTCTCCATATAGCACAATTTGTATATTATCTGAAATCTGTAAGCTAGCTTTTAATTTCGCACGGAGTTAATTTCGCACGCGGAGTTGTAGAAATATTCTCCACCACCACCAAGATCATCCTCTCCGTTTTCGTTTATATCATACGTTAATTATCACTTATCGTTCCAGATACGTTGCTTTCAAATAACTTGGAGGATTGAATAATGCATCGGGATGATTAACTTGATTAACGGGCGCGCACTCACCCGTTCGCATGCGTGTGTAGGATTCGCGTAAGTAGCGGAGCGCACGCAATTTAATAGCGAGCGCGTACGCGATAAAGGCCGATTCATGTTATACGACGTGCGCCGGCAGAATATTACGCAGCGAAGAATAATGAAGCAGCGGATCGTTTATCACATTCGAGATACGCAGCGACAGTCGGCGCAAAAAGAAGGGAAGAACAAACGAGGCCCGATGTGAGGATAACCGGGGCAGCGCTGCAGAATTTCGTCATCATCGTTTAAATCTCTAATTTGTTGTTCAATTCCACGTTGTTTCATTTCGAAGAGAATGAAATTTCAATCTCTTGTAATTTACTGCCCTGTACAATATTATTCCAGCCATTTATTAGAAGGGGACTTTTTTTTTTCTTAACAGAGAAATTATTTAGAATATGATACTTAATGTAGAGTGTAATGTAAAAGTAATTTCTGAATTAAATAACTATCTTTATAAGTGTGTTTGTTTAAATATAAATTACATCTTTTTTTAAACATAATGCGAATGCTACTTAATTATCTCAAGTATTTTCCAGATGCTTGATTTCATAATTAATATATTAGATCATATTAAAATTATGGATATATCATATAATTATATAATATATATTACGCACACTTGTGTAATTATGTCAGTAGTCTTGCGTTACGTGAAGTAACGCATAAAAGTATTAAAAAAAAATTCTCCACGGTGCTTATGTTTGCATTTCCGGTCTGCAATTTATGATCGTTCTCGATTCTCGCCACGACTGGTATCGGCGGCTAGGTCAATAACTATCGATCGATACGCGGGGAAAATACGCGGTGCATTTATGCGTTTCATTCATGCGTGCGCGCGCGCACGCACGCGCGCGCATTCGTGCGATCGTGTTCGCACGGTTTTGAATCGCGCACCTCGGCGTCCCGTTTTCCTGAGCGTGAGAAAGATAATCCCGACGCACATGTGACTCTCCTTTTTTTTTTTTAATGCCCGACGCATCGAATATCATGACACGGGGAAAAGGAGATAGTACATAGTGATAGTGGCTCGCGAGTGAGAACGCGTAATTATGATCATTAATCGTAATTATCGC